CTGCTCTGAAAAAAAGCAGAGATCAAGAAAAGACAGCATTACTGTTAGAAATTTTTTTTTGCAATATAGCAAGTCCTTCTATTATTTCATTTACTTTTGCGTAGTATTTTTGAAATTGGAGATTCTATTTTTGTTTGGTAATAGAGAAACCATGAAAGGGGAGGAGGACGGGAAAGGGAGAAGAAGGGGAGCGTTGTTTTCATTTAGTGAGGGGTCAAAATCTCAACCAAGGATCCTTTTTTTCTCAAAAGACAATAAACTCTATGAATGAGTTGAATAAACAAAAAGGAGGACCACATATTGCTGAATGTTGGCATCAAACGGAAAACATATCTTTTGTCATATGTTTTGGTATGCGGTAGAAATTCTTCAACAAAAGCCGCTTTTTAACGATAAATCGTTGGATATTTTTGACCTCAAATTTATTGTTAAATGTAATTGGCTGAGCTTGAATTCGTTAGCCAAACTCCATAGCAGACTTTTGCTAAACGCTGAGCTTAATGTTTTGTGTGAATTTACGCCATTTGTTGGTAAATCCACTGACTTTTATTGCATTGTTAGCAGGCTGCTGGTACGATCTCAGCTCGAGATATTGCTCCAAGGAGTGCATCGGGGACCCCATTGATGGATAGGCTTCGTCGAATGAGTAATCCTCGTTTTCTGTTCCAAACTGATCCACCGCCAACTATTTGAAATCAAATGTATGCCCGACATTGCTCAATAGTTCTTTCCATCCGTTTCAATGACTGCTTACAACGTCTACGGTTTCTTTTACACTCTTTTACCATTGTGATTGTTTGATTATCTTCCAAAGAAGGTTATCTATATGTTAATATCTGTTAATCGCTGTGCGCTTGTGTTATTTGCTGCTAGTCATTTGTGCTATCCTAGATACTAGAAAAAGATATAATGTTATCAGTATTATTCATATCATTTTGCAATGCATTTTTGTACATTTATCGAAATTTTGCATTACTTAAAGCGTGATCTTAATAAATTACTTATTTGGTCGATATTATGCACTACCATCACGTGTTTGAGGCAATAATATAGAATGTTGCACGCTCTTAATGGCTCACGTAAGATTTTCGATTTCTTACTCCAAGGCAAAACTGGCGATATTCACCGCGACCTTGCACTTTTGATGTATTATCTTTCATAGTGCCACAATTATGTCAACATAAGAAGGAAAGGCTGGTAGATGCCTCAGTCAATAATTTATCAGAAAAATCGATAGATCGACAAATAGGTTTGTAAGTGTTCAGTTAATCAACGATTAGTTAGATGATCAAGTCATTGTCATTGGCGGAACTCATTATTGAGAACATATGCGGCAGAAAATCAATATATCGATTAGTGCCACCTAGGCGCATATCACCCAATATAGCTAATGGATAATGATTAAAAATTAAATTCATCAGAACACGTTAAATTAGATGTACCTATCAGTAACTGTTAACTTAACCAACGATAGATTAAACGACAAAGACGTTTCATTGCACACTCATTAATCAAGAACGCACGAAGCTGCACCTGTCAAAAGTTTCGCAAATAATCAACATATCGATTAGTATCATATAA